ACTGTTTACATGCAGCTTTGGACAGATGGCACCTTTACCCAGCCAATGCTGGGGTCCGTGTCCCTGATAGAAGTCAGAAGAGGGGGGGGGGGGAAAAAAGAAAGTATTTCAAAACTCTTAGTAGGTAGAACAACATTCCATTTCTAGCCTTCTTAAGATGGGAAATATGAATGCCACCCTCAGCCTGTCAACTTCTATATATGTTGACTGTATTTTAAAACACATCTGTACAAAAAAAAAAACAAAAACAAGCAGAACACCCTAAATTGTTATACCTACAAAAACAGAGCTAGGACACTGGGGAAAAATAAAAGAAAAGACAAAGTAGTAACAGAAGAAAGCAAAGCAGATAAACTGTTTTATTTCTGAGGATCTTCAAATCATTCTGGAGCACCAAAAGCAGGTAGATACAGCAAAGCTACCGAATTTTGGGTAGGAAAAACGCAAAGCACTGCCATCCTCATTGCCACTGACTTTTTGCTGTTAATCACTCAAGTCAGATTTGTTCCAAGAGCATTTCCAAGGAAAGACATGGAAATGTGTTTCCCTATGGCATATTTTGTACAATATGCTGCTTCCAAAACATAAATCTTCAGATTTATCAGCATTTTGAGCTGCCTATGGAAATCCCCTACTTCAGCTTCTACGTGTGTTCAAATCATTTTCCCTCCAAAGCTAACAGATGAACCAAAACTTGGTAGTCTAGTTATGAGTTATGCTTCTGCTTTCTAGCTTGAACCCCTTCCCCACTCCTCAACCTTCCACAAAAGAGCATATGGAAAAGGTCTAGATTAAATTGTATTAGGGAAATATGATTGTTTTAATGCAGCCCTTTAAGTAAGAGGTGGGGGGAAATAGGAAAGTGACGTGCTATTTTTTTCTACAAAGCCTTGAGTGCCAAACAAGCAGGAAATTTATGTTTACTAGAAGAGTTTGCTTCCAACCAACCTTTCCATCATTGTCAAAGGAATCAAAGAAAATCCCAACACCATTCCACTTGTCAGCTGCCCCAAACACGGGACCTTCCATGCCTTGCTCCTCTGTAAACCAGATTGCCTGTTACAGAAAGGAAGGAAAAACTGTAAGCCTACAGCCACTTTTCTGAGTAAGCCTCTTTCTTACATCAGATCAAACTCAATACCAGCCCATCGGCTCCAATGCGGCCTCTGCCTGTAACTCGAAAGGTCACTTCGACTTCCCAGTATTCAAATATTGACTTGTTTTTGGTCCACACCGATCCCTTCTGGCTCTTCAAAGACGTTGTTATACGAATCTGATCCGCGCTCGGTATAGCATCTGGAAGGGAAAGGAACAAACATTTTAGGTAAACACTCAGGGAGGAAAAGAAAAATGAACCTAAAAGCAACAAAACATGAAAACAGAAAGGATTGTTACTTTTAGCAGCATAATTATTACTGCTTTTCAAAGCGTTTTTTCACCATTTGTTTGGTACAACAACACGCACCTGAAAGAGAAGTTTGATCAGATGGCTAAAATACGAACACAGATTTTTTTTTAAAGTTTTTTTGCAAGGACGTGTTGCATTTTTTGCTGTTTTTTTTTACACAAATCACTGTTTTCTCCACACAAACAGACGGCCTCCCCCCCCTCTGTTCATCCCCAGAGCGCTGCCCTTTTGACACGTGTAGCACAACGCCACATAACTGTGAGCCACATAACTGTGAGCCACAACCCAGCACCCAGGGAGCGGGCCCGGATCAACTTCACAAAAATAAAGGGGAAAAAAAAAAGAAACAAACAAAAAAAGCAGACAAAACGACTTCAGCGACAGCAAAACGGGGCCGAGCTGCGCGCCCTGCAGCGCTGCAGGGGCAGCCCCCTCCGCCCGCAGTGACACATCAGCACCGCGCACGGGGACGGACCGGGGCTCCGCACCGCCGCCGGGAGGGGGGACCGCCGCCACACGCCGCCACACGCCGCCACACGGCCCCGCGCCGCCCGCAGCCCGCTCCCCCGCCACTTACTGCCCGTGTGCGCCCAAAACGGCACCGTGCCGTCCGCCTGCACCAGGTGCGGCCCTTTGAAGCTGTACTTGTACTCGAAGCGGCGGTGCGGCCCCGCCGAGCCCGCCGAGCCCTCCGCCGCCACCGCCGCCCGCCCGAAGGCCAGCAGCAGCCCGGCCACCAAAGCTACCGCCAGCCCGCCTCGCTGCGCGCATGCCGCCATCTTGCACCGTGCTGCGGGACGGCGCGCGCCGCCAACAGGGCGCCACGCGATTGGCCGAGCGAGGGGGCGGGGCCAAGGGCACTGCATGTGGGCTTCCAGGCGGGGCTTCCGGGAGGGGTGGGCGGGGCTTCCGGGAGGGGTGGGCGGGGTTTCCGGGAGGGGTGGGCGGGGTTTCCGGGAGGGGTGGGCGGGGTTTCCGGGAGGGGTGGGCGGGGCTTCCGGGCGGCCGCGCCTCCGCTTCCGCCTTCTCCTCCGCCTGACGAGGCGTGGGGCGGGAGATGATCCGTTCTGCAGTTCTTCTGTGGGGATAGGTGGAGTTAGAGCTGTGCATGCTAGCTGGGAAAGGTGCATTCCCCATTAGGCGAGGCGTAGACGCTGCTGAGTTGGTGTGGTAGAAAAGTGTTTCTGAGATGAATGTTGGAAGAACTTAAATACCCTTTGTGTTCTTGATAAGTGTTGGCTGAGAAGGAAGTGCTGTAATAACATCAGGCTGTGTCTTGGGTACTGGTGTTTTAAGGGAATTGGGGAATTAAGGGAATAGGCGATATGAAGGGAATTGGCTCTTTCTTCCTTGACAAAACTCAGCTCCATAAAGATCTAGAAGAGAATTCATAGAACCTTTGAGTTGGAAGGGGGCTCTGGGTGCCATCTCGTCCATCTCCCCTGCAGTGCACAGGGACGCCACAGCTCCATCAGGTTGCCTAGGGCCTGATCCAGCCTGGCCTTGAAGGTCTCAAGGGATGGGGCATCCTGCCGATAGAATCTAGAACATTCTGGCATAGAATGCACAGCAGTTACTTCAGGGGGGTAAAACATCATAAGTGTCGTGAATAAGACGTGAATAAAGCAGCATGAAGCCCTGCCCTGAACATACCATGCACCTGGCAGTAAGCTTGGAACTTGCAATGACAGTAAAATAACCGAGCCACACTGAAAGGACAAAAAAGCCAAAAGCACTAGCCTTGAAACAAATCTCTTTATTACCCCCACACATAAGCATATCTGAAATTCTACAGCTTAAAGTCACAAGCATGGAATAATTCATAACTTAAGAGAACAAACATGGGACTGCAGAACTTCATGACATAAAGTTTTTTTATAGAGTCATAGAATCATGGAATCACAAGGTTGGAAACGACCTGCAAGATCACCTAATCCAACTGCCTTCCCATCACCATTGCTACCACAAGCACTAAGCCACATCTCCAGCTCCTCATCCAGATGCCTCTTGAACACTGCTGGGAATGGCGACTCCACCACCTCCCTGTGCAGCCATTGCAGTGCCTGACCACTGAGAGAAACAGTTCTTGTTATGTCTAACCTAAACTTCCTCTGGTACAACCTGTGGCCATTTTCTTGGGTCCTGTTTGTTGCCGGGGAGAAGAGGTCAAACCCCTCCTCATCTCAGCCTCCCTTCAGGAAGTTGTAGAGTGCAATGAGTTCTCCCCTGAGCCTCCTCTTCTCCAGACTGAACGATCCCAGCTCCCTCAGCTGCTCCTTGTAAGACTTGTGCTCAAGTACTGATGGGTAAAAGAGAACATCATGAAAGGCCGCGCTGGTTGCAAAAACTACTGTTGAGACCACTGTGGTCTCAGTTATAACTTCTATCCCAGAAAATACCCTCATTGCTGAAGTTCTTTAGTTCTACAAAAGCACCTTGTGCTTTGCGGAATGTTAACATGAGCTTATTTATCATTGTATTAGTTCTGCAAAGGTGTTGACATCCAAGTTTTTCTACAGAAAGCACAGTGCTATGCACAGTGTGTACCAGCACAAAGGATCTCACTGATACATCTAAGGCGTCTTCTTTAACAGCAAGAACTGTCAGTAAACTTTGCAAGTTTTCTTACACTTCAGAATTGCATATACATGGCAAAGTTGGCGATAATTTAGTTGAGGACACAACCAGAACATATTTGTCACAGAATCACAGACTGTCTGAGGTTGGAAGAACCTCTGGTCCATCTGGTCCAACCACTGCGCCTTTGGTGCCAGCCAGAGCAGGGTGCCCAGGCCCCTGTGTCCAGGAGCAGAAAAGTACCGCTTCCTGTCATTAACACAGGCAAAATTTTAGAATGTGGCCCTAGCCTGAGATAGTTAGTAATTGGCTTGTCTGTGGTTACATAATAGATTAATCTAACTTCAGTTCCTGCATATCTACATCTACAGGATAGGAATTTACCTCTGCTGTTACCATTCTGGATTCCCTGTATAGCAAGCATAGTGAAGTGAGCAAGGGTCTTTTCATATCATAGAATCATAGAATGGCCTGGGTTGAAAAGGACCACACTGCTCTTCCAGTTCCAACCCCCTGCTGTGTGCAGGGTTGCCAACCACCAGAGCCACATCCATGCCTCCAGAGATGGGGCATCCACAGCCTCCTTGGGCAACCTGTGCCAGTGCCTCACCACCCTCTGAGTGAAAAACTTCCTCCTCATATCCAACCTAAACCTCCCCTTCTCAGTTTAAGACCATTCCCCCTTGTCCTACCACCATCCACCCTCACAAACAGCCGTTCCCCCTCCTGTTTATACGCTCCCTTCAAGTGCTGGAAGGCCACAATGAGGTCTCCCTGCAGTCTTCTCTTCTCCAAGCTAAACAAGCCCAGTTCCCTCAACCTTTCCTCACAGGAGAGCTGCTCCTGCTCCAAGAGCTCCACATCTTTCCTGTACTGGGGGCCCTGGACGCAGCGCTGCAGATGGGGCCTCACAAGAGCCGAGCAGAGGGGGACAATCAAGGGGGACGATCACCTCCCTCTCCCTGCTGGCCACCCCTTTTTAATGCAGCCCAGAACACAGCTGGCCTTCCGGACTGCAGGCGCACACTGCTGGCTCATGTGCAGCTTCTTGTCTACCAGAACCCACAAGTTCTTCTCAGACCCCCAAGTTTTTCTTAAATGGATTCCTGAAAGACATCAAAGTGGACCTTAGAAGTACCATTTTCCTCATATAAATGATAGAGAAAGCAAGGTCTGTGGTAGACATCTCTATCACGTGTGCCTTCATTTAATCTGACACTCACATCATATGGCTTGGTAGCTGATCTTCCTCTCTTCACCGTCCTTCAGCAGCATTACATGTTTCTCTCTTGTTTATTGCAGTCTAGAGCAGTCAGGAAGATGCTTCTCAACACCATCTGTATTTGTTCAAACACAAAAGGAATCTTTTTAATCCATTATACAAGCCTTTAGATTACTTCAAAGCAGTCAGAGACATTCCAACAACCATGTTTTAATCATGTACCAGCTTTCCAAAAGAGAATCTCAGTTTACAGATGCCTACATTTGAAGATGTTACAAAGCATGCACGTTTCAGTTACTCTCTGCCACTGGCTATGGTAATGACTGAAAATGATGTGAGTGGTCCCAGTGAGCTTTTTATGCGTACCTGTGCAAATGCAGAACAAATATCGCTACGGTTATTTACAATTTTCTAGAAAAAAAAAAAAAGAAAATCACAGACTGCATTTTTATATGAGATTTGCTTTCGTGGCCCTTTCTGGCTTTTCAAACAGTGTAAAGTTTTTGTCTACCCAGTCCAAAAACAGAAACAACCCCTAAGCATTACATAATCAAAAAGCAATGCTTAGAACAGCACAACTAAGGCTCTAAATGCTCAGAATAAGGAGTGTCATGAACATGAACAACCAGTTTTTCTCTACTTACCCCATACACACTTCCATCAACTTTCTTAGCCTTATTCTATCTAGAAGAAGAAAGTCTGTCAGTTTCTTAGGCCTGGCTTATAACTGTAGGTCTGTTTCTAGAGTCCTGGGCAGGCTGCAGGAATGGGCCATCAAAATCTCCTCAAGTTCAACAAAGGGAAATGCAGAGTCCTTCACCAGGGGTGGAACGCATGCACCAGGAGAGGCTGGGAGCAACCAGATGGAAGGCAGCCCTACTGAGAATGACTTCAGGTCCTGGTGGACAACAAAGTCATAGCACAGCAAAAGCTCCCTTGAATATAAGGTGTCCAACAGCACCCTAACAGAACAGCATCACTAGCGCATCAGGGAAGATGATTTTTCCTCTCTGTCATTAAATAACAACAATCTGTATTCTCTCCCTAGACTAAGCAGGATAATGCTCTTGCAATCTGTGGCTTGCACATCCTTCTTTATGCATAAGTTAGATCACTAGCAGACTCCTTAAACACCAGAGGAAAAGAGTTCTTCAGACTAAAAACTGTCAAAATGCAATTCTTAGCATTAATTACGACGCTAACACATTTAATTTCCAGCAACTTTCTGGCATCAATCCTTAGTAGCCACATAAAAAAAATACCGTGGATGTGCTTCCAGTAAGATCTGTTGATATCTTTTTTTTTTTTTTTTTTTTTTTGCTGTTGACTCAAAGAAAGCAGTAAAAGGAAGCAGTGACCCCTAGTTGCATGTTTTAGAAAACAGAAATATTCCATGGTCTGTGGTCTGTTTCAGCCTTGAAACAAAGCAAAAGTTCCAGCCCTGCAGGCAAGCCTGCTCTGGTACTTGGAAAGGTTATAATGGTACTAGAGGAGCCGACCAGAAGGAGTGTGTACTGCAGCCTCAGAGAAGTTTCTTAGTGCAAACTGCTGACAAAGCAGCCACATTTGAAATTATATACTGGGCTACAAACTGGAGCAGCTGACGTGCCAGCACACAGCTCTTGCTGCTCCCCACTGAGGCAGCAGTGATCACAGAAGGCCCAGAGAAAGCCTGTGATGACCGTGGGTTGAAATGTCCCATGAAATGCTCAGAGCTTACCTGCCATACCCTGCAGCTTAAGAGACCTCGCTGGCAGGGTCTGTTAGTCACCGGGAAAGCCGCAGAAGTCTTTTTTTGTGATGAGTTAATTGCCAGACTGGCTAACTGAAGGATCTTGCTGCCTGCCTTCCTAGGTCCCTCAAGCACTCTTTGTTTTGTTACTCTTTCTCGAACTAATTTGCTCTATTTTCCCATAGGGAACTGAAAAGCTCTTCCAGACTGAACTAAACTTACACTGAAACTATTCTTATATGCCTACCGACCTTTTGTTAGGATCCTGAAATGGAATATGCCATAGGCTACAAAGCATTATTGTATGACTCCTTTCTGTTATTTTTCTAAGCTAGAGATCAAAAGGATATAAAACAAAGAAATAAACAAGGATTGCAGATATCTTAAGAGCAGCTGGGCACAATTTCAAGTGTTTTTTTTTTCCCCCCCTCAAATTAATTATCTTAATTCCCGGTAGTGATGTCAATCCAGCCGTACAAGAGGATCGGTATTTTTAGAAGGGATCTCTTATTCAGATACCTTCATTCCCCTGTTGGTTTTGCTGTAAGAGAAACCAGTCACAGCTTGCTGCGGCATTGTAGCCTAGCACTTAAAAAGATTACGTAGCATATTCTTCCTTTCGACACTGCTCTGGTCCGGTCTACACAAGGGGATAGCAGAGGACATGACACTTTGCTGGTTCTTTTACACGTTCTCAGTGGACTGAGAGAGAACGGTAACTGTCTTTCCTTTGTCCCCAGGGGAATCTGTGTCACCAGACCCTGTGCTCTCCATTCATTTATTTATGTATTTAGTCTCTTTTCCTATGGCAGTCATGAGCTTCCTGTAAGCAGTGTGAAAATCTGGCCCACACTTCTGAACCCTTCTTCAAAGAAGGCAGTGGTACCAGGAAGGTCCCTGGCTTTTTCCTAATGTTGCATGGTGAACTTGAAGGCAGAGGAAATCACTGAGTGCAGCGAGCTTGTTTTTCATCCTCATAGTTTGAATGCAGAATCTGAAAGAAGGGAAGCATGGATTTCCTAAGAAAATGCTTTCTTTTTTACAGTGCATGTGTAAAGCACATACTTGTATATCTCTTATTTATCTATATTTTAGCAAGCATCTCAAAATTCTGTGCTTCTGTGAAAACTTTGACTTTTGGGAGAAGTGCTCAAAACGCTGTGAAAGCAAGCTATCCCTTCAAGCTGTTCTGACTACTTGAGCTCAGTGCCGAGCTCACTGAGTTCCTTCCTGCTAAGGAAACAAAAATCATTTCTTAATTGTTAGAACTTCCTTCGGCACTGTCCTGCAAATAATACATGAATTCAAACGCAGAAAAGAAAGAAAATGGAAAAAAAAAATAATAATGAGGTCATGGTGTTGCCTTTCTAAAAAGCGCTGAGGAAGCCATTGCTTACCATTCTAGCGGCACAATTCTGACATATGCTGTTTTGTACTGAGAAATTCCGAGCAGGAAGATAGGTGAGCTTATCTGCAACCTCCATTTGTCACAGTGGTGAAAGAAAGGCGTGCTGTCAGAAAACAGAAGCAATACTTTCACAGACCAACTTTGTTTTGTCTCTGAGGACGTGCAGAAGTAGTGAAGTCACTTCTCGTATGAAGAATATCTTCAAATGTACAGTCATCCTAAGGAGATAATTAATATTCTGACCCTCTTTTGTTATTTCCTCACTTTCCCTGTGACAGCTTTGAGGATTCTCCTGTGTTATTTCTTTTAGTCCAGGAATCCATGTATGAAGCGTGTTACTTAATTTCAATAACCGTGATAATTATAGAAGACAAGCAGTTACTGAATCTTGCACCATAATTAATCAACCTGATACTTACTCACTAGATTGTTCATAGCAGATTAAGCTGTAGCTAGACAAGCAGGACAAGGAAAGTGAGTGACAGAAGCATTATCATGGCACACTGCCTCCTATTGGGAAAGTTCATCTTCCTTCTGAAAGAGACGCCTTCAGGGATCATGTAATTTGAATTCCCTGTGAATTTAGTGTCATCTTAGCTTGACCAGCTCTGGAAGAACATATTAACCTCCCCTTGTGATTTTCAGAAAACCATTCTAATTTAGCAAGTAATTAAGGGTCACATGTAGGATAAGGAGCTGGATAAGCTTGGATTACGCACAGGAAGCTTTGTCTCCAGGGCAACCCGAGCAGAGGGCTGCTGGCGCTGGGGCGGGAGGGCAGGCAGAGCTTCCACCCCGCGAATCGGTGCGAGAAGCAAACGCCTGCAGAACTGGTCATCACTGGGATGCTGGGCAGAAAGCTGCGGCCAGCGGGAGCCTTCTGCCGCGCGAGGTCAAGAGAAGTCCAAAACAATGACGCTCGGCAAAGCCTGTGTTTTTTCAAAGCCGAAATGGCTCTCCATCGTCATCGAGGGATTTTGCTGCGCTCTCGCCATGAGGCCGCCGGCGTCTGTGTAACTGCGGCTGCTAACGCACGCATCCGTGGGCCCTGCTGGGCCGGAGCGACGCCAGCCAGGCAGCCCGGGCTGCGCACCGTGCTCAGGTGTAACGCTGCGCTCGGGCAGCTCTCCTCTCACTGCCAGCATGGAGAGCTAACGTCACCGGCACGGCCAGGAGATCCGGCTACTTGGCTGGGCACTTTTATTTTTCACTTGGGAGCTATGAAGGGAAAGCAATGCTTTTCTTTTCCCTCCGGAGAAATGGTCAGATTTTTGGTTTGAAACCAAGCCCTCTAACTTCAGAAATTCCTTCTTTTATGTCTATGAGAATAGCAGGCCCGTGCCTGTGATCACTGTGTGCCACGTCCTTCAGAGCCACACAACCCCCTTCTTGAACACTTCAGTGATGCTGATCCCACCCCAGACAGCCTGCTCCAACCTCACCACTCTTTCTGAGAAGAATATTTTCCTAATATCCAACCTAAATAGGAGTGGCCTGTTAGACATGAAATGATTTCTCAGTTCATTTGCACCCTACTGATTCCTTATGATCTCTAAGAGAAACAACCATGGGTGTTTTCCAAAGCTTTCTTTAGAACAAGCAAGTGCCCTCTACTGTTTGCTACCATCAGGTGACGTTGTCATACGATGCATTTTAACAGTTGGGCCATCCTTGCGTCTTGAATGCAGCTACACCTACCTCTATAGCATGCATTTTGGAAATGCTCTTTCACTGTGCATGTGTAACTGATGCTTGATTTCACCTTCCCTCTGCTATTTTCATGTGTAGCCTTTGCGCAGAGGCAGGCTGTTCTGCAGCAGACCACGACTACAGGCGCGGGGGGAATTTGCACACTCCACTCTCTCTAATACATACCATAGAACCTGCCATAAAAAGCCAGTTATGCTGGAGGTAATTGTTAAAAAGGGTAATGGTCTTTAAAAAAGCAGTGGGTTTAAACAATTGCAGATAGAATTCATGCAAAACATTACAGTTGCGTTTGTTGCAACTGCTGAGCACATAATGTTGACAAGGCCATAGTACCTGCACAAGCAATTTTGGGAGCAGCCTCCATGCCCTGAGCAGGACTGTTCACCCTCAGAATCCCTTCATTTCTGCCTGCTTCCTGTGATGAGCCTTGCTTTGCTTTATTCTTCAAATTTCACAGTTCCAACTGAAAGAATCACAATACTGTCTTACTTATTTGTTAAAGGACTTGAGCAGCGTTGTGACACTTTGTTTGCATGTGAAAATGCCCTACAGACTGAGCTGGGGACAAACAAGAACAAATAAGGTTCTTTGTTTATTTTAATTGTGAAGAATCAAAAGTAACTATAATGAGCTGTAATGAAGTTCATCTGGAAAACCCAACATTCACGCTGTGTTTTTGAAGCCCCTGGCCTGCACTAACATCAGAGCCTCTCGAATAGTGTATCCTGGTTCAAACGTTATGGTGAGGCCATTCTGTTCCAGAAAGGGTTCTGTGGTGTTGCTCTGAGCTGCATGTCTCCCACACAGTGCTGTGGTGCATGCTGCACTAGTACACGTGACTGCTGAGTGAGCCCACAGAAAGCTTTCAGATGTGCCAAAAACCACTTGGAGGTTCTCTGGTATTATTTTTTCTTGGTGTGAAACAAATAAAAATATCCTGCCTGACTGAACACAGCTGAGGCTGCAAAGTAATGTTGGTACTTATCTTCTTATTCATGTTGGTGGTTTTAGGCAGAATCCCAGCCCCACTGAGACGCTGAGACTTCAGGAAAGCATTTAGCCTAGCCTGATTTGCAGTTCAGCACCTGATGCAACAGATGTACCAGACAAAACTTTACCAACGGTAACAAACGAAGCCTGGGGTTAATTTAGGTATTTCTCAGATTAAGAGGTGGGAAACATGCAAATAAGGTTATGATGAGGCTTTGCAGCTTCCACAATGGGTATCAGATACTCTTCAGCAAGCCCTTGACTTCCAAAATGACTGCAGGATTTTTCAGCGCTTCTGTTGAGGAGATACTTACTGTTAATGACACAGAAAAAAAAAATGCAAGAGAAGTAAGCAGATACTTTGCACTGTTCGGACACATTGTGGTTCCTGTTTACTCAACTTCTCACAATAAGCAATAGGCTAGTTAGCAAAGGTACAGGGATGAGATAAAGGCAAAGCACATCTTTCTCAGACACCAGTTCAGGGATGCTATCACAGATTTAGGAAAAAAAAAATAAAAGAGGATACATCATTTGCTAATTACTATTCCCAGAGCAAGACTAAACCTTAGAAATAATGATTAGTCACCAACTATGACCTGCTTAGTAAAAGAGGATGGATTTCAAAAAGATGCATAAATTGGGTGGCTAAACCCACAGACACAAGAATTAATGAACTGCCGAGGGCTTAACATGTTTCAAAAGTCAAATGACTTAACCTAAGTGTGGCCTAAAGCTGCAGAAACCCCACGGTGGTAATTAATTACAGTTTTAGCTTTCATAAACATCTGATGGAAACTGGTGGGTGCATCTCACCACACAAGAATCCTTTTTTGGTCACCAAAAGGCAAGTGGAGTGGCACAGCAGTTCGACCCCAGTCATACTCTCCTCCCTTTGTGCTTTATTCAGTTTTGGAATTGCAAAGTAACGACATTCAGTCAGCTGTTCCTTGATTCCATTGACATTTTAAACACTGAGCAGAACTGATTTGGAAACGTCTGAACTGCTTTGAGCACTAGAAGTCATCCAATTTAGAATTTTCAAAAGCAAATGACCTGAAAGTGAATCACGAAAAACACAGAGGCATCCCCAGCTTTGGACTTCTGGCAACTGGAGCTCGTGTGATCCTCATCACAGCACAACAGGAACCAGCCACTGCTCTCACTGCTGCTTCTCTTCCACTCAGTGAGCCCTTTTCGCCTGTCAGGTGTCTGCCCCATGCTATTCATCTCACCTCTGCTACGTTCCTGTTATCTCATTTATGTTACTTAACCTGTCTGCCTTCTCCATTGTACTTGTCTGCCTCCTGACAACTGACCTTCCTTTCAGCAGCTGGGCATGTTTTTCGTTACTTCATTGTTTCTCTAATGCAATATAGCTCTTAATTGTAATGGATAAGATAATTTAAAGAATGATCAGTCCCTAAAGCATTACTTGTTGGATAGAGGACCATCCCAATCACTTTCAGCATAAGAATGTGCACTGCACACTTTTGCTCTTAGGTGTGAGAAGGAAGGAATCCTCAGCAATGTTGGTACCCAAAGGGATAACTAGTCAGACGAAAGCTCTGCTCAGTTGAGTTTCACTAAGACTACTGCCTGAAGCAGAAGCAACACTCAGAGTTCAGAGGAAAACATATGCTCATACTCTGAGACATGCTACCAGCGCTGGGTCACTGCAGGAGGGTTCCAGAGCACATCTAGCTCTCCTTTCACTCACCCAGCTCTCCTCTGCTGCTTCATTCCCTGCAGGCATTACTGATGGCAGTGGCTGTGGGAAAGCGTTTTTTTTTTTCTATAGAAGGTGCTGTTCCACTGTATTGGGAATATAAAGGAATAGCTGAGAAATCCCCTTGGAGGTCAGAGATAAGAGATTTATCAGCAGT